TGGTACCTGGGAGTGGGGTGGGATGGAGTGGGGGGAGGAATGTGCTGGGGGGCAGGGGGAGAGCCCCTAGCTCCTGAATGCGGGACACCCAACACACTCTGTGCTGGACCCTCTGGGTTTGGTGTGGGGTTAGTTGCTTTGTAATAAATAAGTGTTGTAGGCTTAGTCATTTGTGCTCTGTAATGAGCACATGAGATGGGTGTGGGGTGCGGGCATGTGAGGGACGAGGGGGGGGAGGAATGTGCTGGGGGGCAGGGGGAGAGCCCCTAGCTCCTGAATGCGGGACACCCAACACACTCTGTGCTGGACCCTCTGGGTTTGGTGTGGGGTTAGTTGCTTTGTAATAAATAAGTGTTGTAGGCTTAGTCATTTGTGCTCTGTAATGAGCACATGAGATGGGTGTGGGGTGCGGGCATGTGAGGGACGAGGGGATGGGCACAGCTGAGTTCCTTGTGTAACAGTCGGGCCAGGCTATTGACTGTTTGGTGCTGTTGTGGGATTGAGGTACCTGGGGATTTTAGTGTTGGGAGGGCATTATCTCTGTTTAGAGTTTCCAGCATCTGTTCCTGTATCTTTGTGCTTCCCTGAGATGCTACAGCTGCCTAATGAGATCCCTAGTGGACTTAGTGGAGTCTTCTACTTTTCTTTACTCCTTGGTAGGAGAGACTCTCTGTTTAAGGAGTAACTTCTGTAACTGTGTTGCTGATTGTAGTGGAAATGTTTCCTTAAAGAGGGGTGACCAAAACAGGCCACTTCACCTTTAACGGTGTTAATTAATATGTGTTAATTACTTATGCTAAATTCTGTTCCAGCTATGCATTTAGTAGTGACACTCTTGAGTATGTGTACACTAGCACTTCTGTTGCTGTAACTTATGTTGCTCAGGGTTGTGATAAAAACAACCCCCTGAATGACATGTTACACTAACAGAAGTGCTGGTGTGGACAGTGCTGTGTCAGCCAGAGATGCTCTCCTGCCAACTTAGCTAGCACCACTCGTTGGAGGTTGTGGGGAGAGCTCTCTCCCATTGGCACAGACTGGCTACATGGGAGACCTTACAGGAGTGCAGCTGCATTGGTACAGCGGTGCTGCCAGGGTTGCTAGTGCAGACATAGCCTGAGTATGTTTCCCAGAGGCGAAGAAGAGCTCTGTGTAAGCTCAAAAGCTTTTGTTTGGTTTGGTCTTCACTACCAATTTATGTTGGTATAACTGTGTCACTCAGTGGCATAATTATACCAAACTAATCCTGGTGTAGACAGCACTATGTGAACAAGCTACTCTAGGGAGGTGGAGGTCATATGCTGATAGGAGAAGCACTTCCATTGGCATCTTCTGTAAGCACTACAGAGGCAACACAGCACTGAAAGTGTGGACAAAGCAATAGATGTTAGTCCAGTAACAGACAGTACATCACCCACACCATCTCTCTAGTCCCCTAAAAAAGGAGGGTATTGCAATTGCAATGTACCCTGAAAGTTGCTGGATTCTAGTTTAGCCTTACTTCCTCTGGAAGCTTATTCCTACATAGCTTATTTCTCTCATCTGATAATGCTATCTCCAGCTACCATGTGTGTCAATTGGGGTTGTGTAAACTCTCTTGTTCTAGAGAGGAGCAACTGTTAGCAGGTCAGTGGAGGAAATAAGGTTGTTTATGTGCCGAGGTCCGACCTTTGCAGAGCTTTAAAGACCAAGGCTTTGAACGGCAACAGGAGTGAATTGGGAGCCAGAGGTGGGATCAAAGGATGAAACTTACAAGCTAGTGGTTGTCTGTCTCGCTGAGGAGGTGGGCAGTCACATTTTGTCCCTCCTGTGGCTTCTTCATTATTGACACATTAATTCTGAGACACAATAATTTACAGTAACCTAGACTAGAGGTGTAAGATTTATGGATTGCCGTTGCCATTTGTCATGAACATAGGGCAGAGTTTCCTAGAAAGCTGTGGACGTCTGTCTGTATTGCAGTGCATGAACCCTATGCAGAATGCAATATTCTGTGAAAGCAGCTATAAGAAATGCAGTTGTTATTATGATCCTTATATTGCAATTGAAAGAAAATCTGCAGTTCCTAATAAATGCTTTGTAATCTACATAATTTAATTTGCATGCAGGTAGTACATATATGCCCCCCTTCCACCCGTCACTTTATCATCTGTTTATGAACTAACTGCTAGCTAGCTCATAGCTTCAAAGTGAGCTGTAGTTGAATATGGTATTAATATGACAAAGGATATAGCATTGGAATGGACTTCCTGGATCAGTGAGTCCAGTCCCTATTGTAGGCAACCTCATCATGTAAGGGCAGAAAGATCTGGAGGGGAATCAACAACTTTGACTTAAGCCACTCTTGTTCATGAGCTTTTAACAGATTATTTTATATGAACAATTTGGAAGCTTTAAGCATTAGATAGACACTATATATACTTATATAGAATTATACAGAACTTATGATCTCTGAAAACAAAATATTGGATTCAGTCTCACTATGATCCACAGGATTCATTTTCTGTGAATTCCAGTGAGCGCATCTTTGTTTGCCCAAGGAATAAATGATACTGTAACCTTGTTCGGAGCCTATATCTAGATATTTTATAGATGGCAAACTTTCTCTGCCACCAACTGCACAGCCATGTATGATAATCTTATTGAATAAAATGAAAACCTCCTGCAGTATATCTGAAATCCAAGCATAAGGCCCAGAAAGTCACTGATTTGCAAAAAAGGTGCAAAAAATAAAGTGATAATATCTGATGGTGAAAAGTAAACAAGATTTTAAGCAGTTTCAATTTATTGTTTTTGTAACCAGCATAGAATCCCCTTTTTTTTTTCTGAGTCTCATGTTGGCCATCAGAAATTGGCACACTGAAATCCTGCTTCTACATCATTGTTCCATGCCATTCAAGTGTCAGAAACGATTTAAAAGGGACAGTCAACATAAGGCTCCTGCGCTGTAAACAAATAAGCTTCTGTGCATCTGTTGCTAATATGCTAAGTTAGTGGTCCACAAATGTTTTCTGTTTGTCTTACAGGCAAGAAAGGATGAATCTGTCCATGCCCTTCCTCCCCTCTCCCCAGGAGTCATGTTCAGGAGCTAGAATGGGGCCAGGAGCAGAGCTAGGGTCAGGAGCTGGAGGCTGAACCATGATCAAGACCCAAAATGGGATAGAGTGGGGCTGGGTGGTGCTCCTTCTGCGAGCCCATGAACATTCCTACTGGCTGCCCTCGGGCTGTGTGCCCCACAGTTTGGAGACCTCTGTTAGATTATTTGAAAGTGAAAGAAGGTTATAATATGGCTTACTTGATATGATGCTCTTTGCTAACATTTTCCATTTTTCTTATCTTGGTTAAATAAAGTTAGTTTCATTTTCAGGTTTCGGTTTCAAACTATAGGGTAATATTTTTATTTAAAAACATTATCAATTACATTTTAAAAAAGTAGGAACATTTCTGCTGGCCCATAGGTTTTAGAAAAGCATGTGTTTACAAAATGTCAGTTTGACCCAAACTTAGATTGAAGAAGAGTTAAAAAAAAAGGGAGACTGCCAATGGAAAGGTTCTCTTGATTGGAAAATATTACTATAGAATTTAAACCATTTATTTATTTACTGACTTAAATAGATATGGAAAATATTCTAACTTTACTTTTGTGGTTAACTCTCCAGCATCAAGCTCTGGATATTCTTGTGTAAGTGAAACTGTCATGTGACCGAAACTAACAACTGGACTTTTTTGGTTCCCCATTTCCTTATCAGGTGGATAAAATAGTGGAACAGCTGCAGCAGTTCATTCAGAGTTATGATCTGCCTGCCCTTCGGGATTACTGGAATTATCTTGACCGACGCCTTTTCAGTCGTTTGGAGGATGTGTATCGGCCTACGGTGAATAAGCTGAAAACCAGTTTGTTCCGCTACTACCTCGTCTACACTGTTCAGGTACATATTATTCCGTTTGTTTTTAAAACTCTGCTTACGTGGTGTTCATGTCAAATAAAAGGGATAATTACCATAGTTGGCCTCATCATTTAGGCTACATTTACACTGCCCAGTTATTTCGGAATAAACTATTCTGGAATAGTTATTCCAAAATAGCTTATTTTGAAATAGCACATGTACACTGCAGGGAAGCCTCAAAATTAAGCTGAGGCAGGCTTCCCTAATGGAGATGTGCTATCTCAATTTAGAGCCCCAGGAGGAATAACTTAGCCCTTCACCAGGGTCATTCTATTTCAAAATAGCAGAAGTGGAGCATCTATACAGCCCCTATTCCGAAATAACTATTTTGGAATAGGCGTTAATCTTCATAGAATGAGGTCTACAGAAGTCGGAATAAGCCATCTGTTATTTCGAAATTATTTTTAAATAATGGAATTGCTGTGTAGACTCTAGTATCGTTATTTTGGAATAACGGCTGTTATTCCAAAATAACTTTGCTGTGTAGACACACCCATAGAGGCCTTTGTGTTTTGGCTCTAATTGTGGAGGGGTTGAGTGAGTTAGTAATGAGACAGTAAGTATGTAGACGGGTTGGTTTTATTCATTGCAAGCATCTCTGTGGCACCCATCAGTATAATATCTGGGTGCTTTTTTCACACTTCCCCTGTGACTCCACCCGACACCACCAAGAACTTTGTCACTTGAGCATGAGGAGCCTTGTCATTATGCTAAATGGATGGTGGCTGCAATGTCAGAACCATCAGCAAACTCTTTGGAAGACCTCTTCTCTCATATTCCAACCTCTTGCTCTGGATACATGTTATAGCACCACCCTTCACTATAGGTGAAGGAGCCCTGAATGGGAGTCACTTTCCAGTCCATTAGCTGTAGGTACTGAGAAACTTGTGGCATGCTCTTCCTTGCCTCAAGAGCTGAAAGCATTAGACCGTGTGTAAACACACAAGCTGCATTGGCAATTTAATTAAACAGGTGTGAACCCAGCCACATGTAGGAAAGGCCTTAGGGATTGTGCAAAGGACATTTGATTCAGTGCATTATGTTGCATTTTTTAGTGAATGGATTTGGGATTCTTTAGGTATGACAGTTTCCATTTTGATTTGTGTTAAGTCACTTTTCTGCTACTCCGTTTGATGGGGCGGGTTGGGTATATTGTTTTGCTCTCTATTCTGAACTCAGGGTAACTATATTTTGGATTTCTTGTAACAGAAAGTGGTAAAACTCAGGTCACACTTTGCTTTGTATGTTTCAGACAGGCCGGAATGACAAGGCTCAGGAGTTCTTTCTCAAGCAAGCATCAGAACTCCAGAACCAAGTGGAGTGGAAGGATTGGTTTGTTCTGCCATTCCTCACCAACGCAGATTCAAACCCCACCTTTGCCACGTATTTCTCACGACAGTGGGCAGACACGTTCATCGTGTCTCTGCACAACTTTCTTAGCGTCTTATTTCAGTGCATGCATATCCTTTGTTTCAAAAGAATACTTGCCATTATAGAGCTAAGTCTCATGTACCCCTTCAAATGGGTACACGTGATGTTCTACTTACTGCAGCAACACTGCCAAGAATCTAATGGTATCAAATAAGATTAAGTGCTGCCTTAAGACTGTTGCTAAGACTTGAGGCTCAATAATAAATCTGGATCTTTGGTGATCAGTGGATGTCGGTGAGATAATTGATTGTTTAATAACCAAAATGATTTTATATGAGAAGATGTTATGCTTACAGGGCCAAACTGAGTCAGGGCAGAGATGAGTCCAGTTTTAGTATCTGGAGTGTAGTGACCCCAGAATTACTGTAATATGCACGTTTTGTTCTTGAGCCCTTTTCCTTGCTTTCTGGACCACCGGCACCTGACGCTGCTGCACAGTGACGCATGATGGCTCACTGGAAAGGGTGCAGCCCAGTGCCCATGTGACTTTGGTTTTCTTTGAAAATTTCATCTGCTCCTTTTCCTTGTGAAGAAGACTGTGTCACGGTCAGGCTGAGGGCAGTTGAACACAGAAATAAAAAATGATAGTTGAGATATTAAATACTTGTTCTTGTAAGTCACCTTTCAGTTTATACATTAACAGTATGTCTTTTTCATAACACTTCTGTAGAGGGATAGAGAACAGGCTGCAGGACTGAGGAGTTTAATTAGAAACCACTCTTGACTATCATTTTAAGACTATTCCAAGCAAATATCTACCTTTAAATTGTTCCAGGAGACAGCCTGAGTCTGGAAAGAGATCACTGAAATTCTTATAACATGTTGGGGCCCATGGGTATAGAATTAAGACTCTGAACAAAAGAGTAGGTGAACAAAGATTAATTCTTTGCTCATAACCCAGCTAGAAATGCCTTTTGGGAGAGATCTTGGCCTGGCATCTCTATATTGTCTAGAAAAGCTAAGCATCAGGGAGGAGAAGGTAGATACAGTTCACAAGTTACTAATTCCCAGTCCACCTTCACAGGATGATGGCAAGATTTGCCTTGTGCCAGTGTTGGGAGAGCTGGCTTCTGTTTCTAGCTGTCATATACTGGTCTGAGCCAGTGAAAGTCACTTACCCTCTGTGGGTCTCTGTTTCTCACCTAAAAATAGGAATCATACTTCTACCTTGCATAGAGTTTGTGAGGATTAATTTAATGTCTGTTAAAACACTTGTAGATCCCCAAAGTGATAACTATGAAGTAGGTTTAGTTCAATAGGCCACAAGCCCACTAACAAGTCATGACTTTACCGATGTTCCTAGCTACCCATGGCTTCTTCCAAGGACTAGACTGATTTGCTCTGTCTACCACTTGCCCTGAAAGGCAAAAAAGCCACATGAGTTCTATGCATTAACTTATGTGGAAATAGCTTGGCTAAACAGGATGTGCAAATACTGTTGTCTTGGGTTTCTCTTTAACCTTCCTCACCTGTCCCAGTAATCTTGAACTTTGATGCCGAATGTCAGAGGAGTGCTGTCATACAGGAAGAAAATGAAATTTTGCGTCAAAAGGTCTGTGGGGTGTGTTGAATTTAATAAAATGTCAAAATCAGATATGTGAATGCATTATTTTGAGGTGGGATAATGGACTCTTGTTGCTCCCGTTTTATCATCACTTCAGTTTAACTTTGCTTCTTGTTGACAATGTTTTCTCTTTCAAAAAATTTACTTTGGCTTTGTCTGAGAAAGTTGCACATATTTTTTGTGCTTTGTTAATCCATTACTAGCCCTTATCTAAATACTGTTATGTTGGTTTAAGAATGCCTTCTTTTGGATTAACCGAAACCTATTTGCAGCCTATTTAAACTGAAAGAAGCCCAGTTTAAACTGAAATAAGAGTCCACATGGCTTTTTGCACCAGTGTAACAAAATTGATATAAAATCACATCTTGAGTTAAACCAGTGAACCTTTCTTGTGTCACAAGATTTTAGTGTAATCTGGTTCCCCAAATGTAGTAAATAATTTTTTTTAAAGGAACACTAGATAGGAGTTTAAGCTCCAACTTTACCCTCTGCTGCACAAGAGCTTTATGATCAGATGTTTCACTTCCTGATATGCTTATCCTGTTTTTTCTGAAAGCTGATGTACAGTGTTTGTTTGCCTAAGATTTTTCAGGATGCCAAACATCTTAAACTGCAGTGTCAAAAATTATCTGCCATATACAGTGGCAAATGCAAGTACAGTACAAGAGCTGGAAACCTTTGCTGTTAGAAATCTATGAAGAGGATGTGTGGAGAGTGATAACGATGTTCTTTTTCAATTAGTATGAATTTTTAAAAATATCAATCTTGATTTTATTTTCAGTCAAACTTAAGCTGTCTTATCTTTGTCACGTTAATTGGGTTTGCAGCTTGAAGTAATGTCAACTTTCAAATTGTACCGGGTAAAATCATATTCTGTTTTTCACCCTTTTCTTTCAGGTTTGGGGTATTAGTTCACATTAAGAAAGAGACAGTTACCTATGAAATGTGTTGTGAAATCATGTTTTTAAGAATTGATTTGCAGGGTCTGAGTAAATGGTAGCTTTTCTTTGAAATCTACCGTGAATCTGGGTCACTGTTTTCACTGTCCATGCTGAGTGAAGTGCTTGATAAGAAAGCATGATAGGAAAAATTGACTCCTAAAATCCCTTTATTTTCAGGCACTTAGGATGTTATTAATGGGTGAGAAATTAAATATGATTTTTATCTGACCCTCTTCTATCTGAAAAACCAGAAACCTCTTGAAGTACAGCTTCATTCTAGCTAGTCTGCTTTAAGTTTGTGCACGCAGAGGGATAAAAGGCACTAGAACAACTGCTTGTGGAGAAGAGTGAGGAGTTTTAGCAGACTGTGATTTCATGTGCACAGACCACTGATTGTTCTCTGTCACGCTGAATAATTCAACATTGAGCCAGTCAGAACAACTCTTTTTTCCACAACCTACTGGTGTTGCTGCTGGATTAAGAAGTGGCGCGTGGTGTTGATGTCATGTGACATTGGCACAGAGGGGAACCAGTGAAACCTCAGCTAACTCACTCTGTTCCCTTGTTGTAGCTTTTTGCCTTGCAAGCTGAGACCTACCGAATGAAGAAAGAGGAGCTGCAGCAGCAGCAGCAGCAGGAGGAAGAGTCAGTTGTCCACCACAAATTGCCTGCTTACGTGGCCAACATGGACCGACTGGGGGACTCTGAGCTGTGAGTGTCTCAGTAGGGTCAGACAGCTGCAGAGGATGGCTTCTGTTAGTGCTTTGGTGCTGTGATGAGAGCCCCTTTCCCTCCTTTCAGCACCTACCGTGTGGAGTGATGAGATTTTTTTTTTTATAGAAATCCTTGTAGTTTGGTTTTCATCTCTCAGAAATGAATTGTATGACACAATGGATTGTTTCTGCTGTTCTTCCCTTTTGGAGGGAGCTCATTATCCTCTGTCAGAGCTTTGACATTTCCACTCGAGCAGCCATGCTGCCCATAGATTATAAAAATGACTCTCTTGTATAGTAGTGGTCCAAAACCATATCTTACATCAGTGGTACTGTGCTGTGTTGGACCTAGGGATGTGAAAGACTAGTCAACTACAGGCAGTCCTCGACTTACGTCGGATCCGCAGTTACGAACGGGGCTGCCCCGGAGGACACGGACTGCGGGACCTCGCGGTCCTGCCGCCCGTGTACTATTATAAAAATGACTCTCTTGTATAGTAGTGGTCCAAAACCATATCTTACATCAGTGGTACTGTGCTGTGTTGGACCTAGGGATGTGAAAGACTAGTCAACTACAGGCAGTCCTCGACTTACGTCGGATCCGCAGTTACGAACGGGGCTGCCCCGGAGGACACGGACTGCGGGACCTCGCGGTCCTGCCGCCCGTGTACTCCGGGGCTTTCGCTGCGTCTCCCTGGTCTGCAGACCAGGAAGACGCGGAGCAAAGCCGCGGAGGGGCTCGCGGCGGCGGCACGGCCCC